TTTCAAATCCCCTGTTCTGCCACTTACTAGTTGTGTGATCTTGGAAAAGCTGTCCAACCTTTCTGGCCTCAGTATCACCACCTGTAAAATGGGCATAATGATATCTATCATATAAAGCTACTGTGTCAATGATTGAGTCCATGTGTGCCAAGTACACCGGGGGGTTGCTGAGCACTTAGCAAGGACCATATGTCAGCTAATCGTGTGTATGAATGAACACTTCAAGGTTTTGCAGGATAGGTGTGATGAGAAGGAGCAAAAGGGTTAACTGGGAGGGTAAACAACTATTCAAGTAAGAGCTGAGGTGGATATTTCTCAATCCACAGTTTTTCAGATTTCCTTGCCAATTGTTAAGTGTGAGTTTAACTACACATCTGTGTTTGGTGTGGGGACTTGGGTGACAAATGAGACAAGGGTGTTCATCTTTAGATCCAGAGGCAATTCCCGGTAGTTATTTTTTGTATTGTTTCTGATCATCAAAAATAGCATGTTGGATTTAAGCTATTTTGGACCACTATATAGCTAAATAAAGCAATCCTTAATGGTAAAATATTAGAACTGAAATTGTAGAGGTGGTCTCATCCAGTTTTTCCCAAACCATTCAGCATGCCAGGAACAACTTCCTAAAAAATTGGATTCCTAGGTTAGGCCCTGGAATAAGTCATCAAGGAGAAGGCCCAAGAATGTGTACTGTCATCTTCTCAACACCTCAAGGTGTTTCTGATGATTGAACCCCTTTGAGAATTTCTCATCCAGTCTAACCTTGCGAGCAGAATAATATCTTGAACCAGGTCTCTTGGCTCTCAGCCCATAATCCCCTTTTCCCACCCTCTTCCTAAAAGTCACATAAGGCAAATGTAATGTTCAGGGCTTGGGCTGTGCTAAAATATAACGTGAAAATCATTCAGGATCCCATGTTTGAAAACTATTGGAGGGGCACCTGGGTGGCTCAGTGGGTTAAAGCCTCTGCCTTCAGCTCAGGTCATGATCTCAGGGTTCTGGGATCGAGCCCCGCATCGGGCTCTGTGCTCAGCAGGGAGCCTGCTTCCTCCTCTCTGCCTGCCTCTCTGACTACGTGTGACCTCTCTCTCTCTCTCTCTCTCTCTCTCTGTCAAATAAATAAAAAATATCTTTAAAAAAAAAGAAAACTATTGGAAAATTCTAGATGATATTAAAATCTAAAGCGAAGTTAGTTTTCCTCTAAAATTAAAATCTTCCCTTAACTTTTTATTAGATTCTCTTAAATTCAAACTGCAGGGATTGTGGGAATTGCGGCTCATAGTCATTTATACCTCAGCCACATTTACAGGCAGCACTGCCTTAGTTTAGGCCTTTGACACATGTATCTGTGTGTACGTTACACCCCACTTTAGAGAATAATTCAGAAACAGAAAGCTAGTGTGGGCACGGTATGTGTTTAGAGTAGCTGCAAATAGTATCTTAGGCTTCTCTCATCATTTTGAAAACACACTTATTGTTTGGTGCAAGGAACAAAATGTTTGCCATAGCAACCATGGCAACCCTAGATGCCTGGTCTATTAGCTGTAATGCAGGGAACATCTTCAACAGCAGGAAAAGAGTTCTTGGCAATTATCACCCAGACAGTGTCCCTCTGTTTTTTTTTTTTTTTTTTAAAGATTTTATTTATTTATTTGACAGACAGAGATCACAAGTAGGCAGAGAAGCAGACAAATAGAGAGAGAGGTGGAAGCAGGCTCCCTGCAGAGCACAGAGCCCGATGTGGGGCTCGATCCCAGGACACTAGGACCATGACCTGAGCCGAAGGCAGAGGCTTTAACCCACTGAGCCACCCAGGTGCCCCTGTCCCTCTGTTTTAAGAGCTTAGGTTGAAGCTTCTGGGTTTGGAACATTTTTAACTCGATGTGTTAATGAAGGTGAACAGCAACAATTCTATTTCAGCTAATTTCAGGGTGATTAATAAGCTACGGATTCTACTGTGGGCAAAAGGGAGATGTGATTTTCTTTAGAAAAATTTGAAGAAACCTTTGCATTAACTCTCTGTCTTTTGTTTTAGTTTGGTTTGGTTTTTGGTCAGTCTTCTGTGATTTTTTGTTTTGCGCGGTGACAGGGAGAGTTCCTTGTCATTTTGCTTTCTCTCTTCCAATCTTAACAAAAATTCTTAACATATATGAGGATGATAATAATTAGAATAAATGAAGAAAAAAATCCTAAAACATGACTAGGAGGTCTGGCTGCTGATTATTGAGGATAAAAGAGGAATAGTTAAGGTCTGAGGATTTTGATTTCAAAAATAGTGATGATCACATAAAAAGTCACAAGTTGTCACCAGCTGTTCAATTGCTATATGTATTCTTTAGGCAATAAACCACATAAATATGAATAATGCGAGTCTCCATTTATGTAAGAAAGACATACTGATAACAGAAAATATGTTCTAGGCCAAAAGCATAAAAGGATGAAATAACTCATAGTTTCATCACTCAGAAGAAATCACCATATAAATTTCTCTTTGATCATGTTTTAACACATGATATATAGTTTATACAAACTTGCATTTTTTCACTTAAGAAGAAAGAGACCCCATGAAATGAGCAGGAGGAGAAATTGAATGGAAATAAAGAATAGGCTTAAAATTGTTTTGGACTTAAAAAAATTTTTTTTTATTTTTTTGAAAGTAAATGCTCTTCTTAAGCCTCTCTGTCAGTTGTGAGAAGTTGAGAGAAGGTAGTCAGGGCTGGAAATTGTGGACAAGTTAGAAAAGACAGAGCTGTTAGACAAAATGTACTTCTGGGTCTGGCATGTCAGAATCTTTGCTCAAATGCCTCCGCCCTATGCCTCTCTTCTGTATTGATTTCCTGGGTTTTGTTTTGGTTTTTTTGTTTGTTTTTTTTTCTGCTGAAAAAAAAATTTTTTTTCTGAAACTTTTTTTTTTTTCTGCTACATAATAGTCTCAAAGAGCAATGCTTGAATCCCAACTGTCAGGTGTTCCAAACTTGCTGGATCTCAGTTTCCTGAACTATATACTGGCAATTGCGCTATTTATCTTACAGGATATTATGTATGTTTTAAAGTAGGCTGAATTGCAGTATCAAAAAAGTTCTAATCCACAATGTCTTGAGCAACGTAGATGCTTAGTTCTTATTCACATTATTATTTGGGGCAGGCATGCAAGTAGACAGATGCTTCCTTCATGTGATGATATGGGAATCCAAGATCTTTGCATATTGTTGTTTTGCCATCACCTCGGGCCTTGGTGCCAACTGCATCCATCAGTCATAGAAGGGGAAACAAGTGGGGAAGAGACCAGTTGGCTTCTAAGTGGTATGTCTTCCTCCTACTCCTATCTTGGTTAGAGAGAACTTATCTCTGTGGCTATAAGTATGATAGGATGGAGAGCTGAAAATGAAATCAAGCTTCATACCTACCCGAGAGGAAGAGAAATGGATATCAGGGAAATCAGCCATATCTGCCACTGTATCTGTGTCTTGCAGAACACTTAATAAAACACATTCCGTAATGGGTGCTGAGCATGTTCCATCTCTTCCTTTCCCTGCATTTCAGTCTTCTCAGGAAAGTGAAAAAAAAAAAAAATCAAACCAAAGCTTAACAGCAGTTGCTATTAGGAGAGAATCAGCACATACCTTACAGGATGTGCCTATGACTAAAGTAGGGTTCACTTCATGTCCTCCATCTCCTGTGCCTACGTGTCTGCTTCCATCAATGATGAGCTATCTACACCAGGGAGCCAGGGCTCAGAAAAGTTCTCTATTACCAGGAAGAAATCCCATTGATTCCTTCTGAGATCGTGAGAAAGTAGACCAGGACATTACTAAAATAATTTTAAATGACATAGGTTGAAATCAAAAGGGATTTATCGATTAAGTTCTCTAAAGTGAAAGTGTAATTAACTCACCAACTTGATACGCTGAGCAAGGTGCTTCACAGAGGTGTTGTTTCCTTCTCATCCCCATCCACGGCATACACATTCTGCCCTTCCAGGATTCCACTGAGGATTTGGAAGATTTGTTAACTCTTGGGTCAGTGAAAATGATTATAGACCTCATTATTACCATGTGAAACAATTAGAGAAGACTGAGGCCACAAGTCTTCCAACTGTGCAAGAGCTAATATTGATCTTTTGCAGAGTTCCAGGATTTTTAAGGCCCAGAGTCTTTTGTCCCATGTAAGAATGTTCCTGTGTGTCAAGTATACTGAATCCCGTGTAGATCCAGAAACACGGCACACTGTCTCATGTCCGCTGAGATTTTGTGCATGCTGTTCTCTTGGCCCTGTTTGATCTCTCCAATGTTTTCTCTCTTTGACCTTGTTTGCCTGCAGTACGGTCATACTTGCTTCGGGCTTCAGCTCTACTGTCTCGTCATCACTATCTCAAGGCCTTTCTGTCACCTACAGAGAGATTCTGTCCTCTGAGCTCCTATTGTACCTTGTGTTTGCCTTTTATAAGGCTTCCTATCACATCAAATTGCATATTTTTGTTTGCATGTCTTTCTTCAGTATCCAGAATGCTCCAGGTGCTCAGAGAACATCAGTTGCATGGATGAGACAGAGTCAAAGATATAGTCAATGGTCTTTCATTTTTGTATCCACAGCAAAAATATCTGGGCCTTGGTAGAGGGAGGGATAAAAGAGTGGAGAAAAGAAGGAAGGAAGGAGCTCTCCGTTAGGCAAAGGATAGAAAGCATGTTACAAGATTAAGGTTGTAAGAGAATAAAAATAAATAAGTAGTACCGATTGTACTAGGAATCCAAAAAATAGAAACTAATGCCCGAGGAAAGACAGGAAGAATTATGGAAGGGACAGCATGGGTTTGAGATGAATCTTGAACCATGGAAGGGAATAGTGTGGAAGAGGAGAATGGAAATCAGGCCATGCAAGGATGAGCAGGGCGCTTTGAGGGGTAAAGACATCTTAGCGGCACACCATTTCATTCTCTTTGAGAGCTGAAAGTTGCAGCCATGGGGAATGTTACTACAAGTCTCTCTCTGATCTTCTTCCAGGAACTGGCGGTTGGTCCCCAGCAGATTCCAATGCTCAACAGTGGCTCCAGATGGACCTGGGAAACAGAGTGGAGATTACAGCAGTGGCCACGCAGGGAAGATACGGAAGCTCTGACTGGGTGACAAGTTACAGCCTGATGTTCAGTGACACAGGACGCAACTGGAAACAGTACAAGCAAGAGGACAGCATCTGGGTAGGACATCTTTTCTCTTCCAATGAATGAATCTGAGATATAATAATGGTAACCAGTGAGCATTTCTATCATTTTCCTCTACTCAGATTGTTGATAGCTTAATAACTGTGGAGTGCCCATTCAGAAATAATTAGATGGTATATGAGTCCTCCTTCCAGCATGGTTCCAGTTCCAAGGGAAATTAGGATGCCTGTTGGAAAAAAAAAAAAAAAAAGTGTTTTCCTCTTCTTCTGGTAACCTGAGTAACTCGATGACCGGGTCTCAATTCTTCATCTATAAAAACAGAAGGATACTGTAAGGGTCTGATTTTTAATGAAAACGTATTGATTTATTGAGCATGTATTTATTCACTCACCTGTTCATTATGTATCAGACACTTCACATACCCTCTAGTGACCCAGCAAGCTCAGTTATGTAATGCAATCAACGTTGAACAATTTGTAAAATCTCAGCCTGAGAATCTATAGTCTGGTCTGACGTTATAGCCACTGTGCTCAACAGCCTCTATTCAAGATTTGAAAACAATTAAAAGGTTTAAAAAGACAAGACAAATACAAAATGTAGAATCATTTTGTCATTATAAATATAAATGTCATTATAAATAACATCACTTAGGAAGTGAAGGACAGTGTGCTCTAAGTTGTGAAAAAGAAATTTCCTCCCCACCCCAAGGTCTAAACTCTTGACCTTCAGGTGTAATGAAAGGCTGTCCCCAGACTGAGGTTAGAAAGGAAGGCAGAGACACTGAGCAAGAGGCATCTGGAGGAGGCTTCAGAAACTGATGCACTGAATGAAATAATGTGTTTCTTTATGTTGCTTACAATTTATGGAAAAAACATCTCCAAATACTTATTTTTTGCTAAATGTACATACTATGTGAAGATGTGGCAATTGATAGACTAATCTGTCTTTCTCATATTCTCCCTACTTGTTTCCCCCTTAAATTAATGCTAAGCATGGTTTCAAATTACTATTGTCTATGCTTTTCTGTGTTGGCTCTACTTTGGTTGGAAACAGATTTCTATTTTATGTTCATTGCTATTTGATAATCGTCTACTCATCAATATTGCTAATTGAAAATAATAGTGAAGTTAGGATTGAGATTAGTTATGGTAGATTGAATCTTGAGAATACTATTATTATCATGTTTATTCTAGGTTGCCTGTATATTAAGTTGTAATATTTACAAGGAATATGGATTTTCTACATTTTAAAAATTGGATTTTAAGGGGTACCTGACTGGCTCAGTCAGAATAGCATATGACCCTTGATCTCAGGATTGTGAGTTTGAGGCCCACATTGAGGGTAGAAATTACTTAAATAAATAAAACTTAAAAAAGTTTTTTTAAATAGGGCTTCAGGGGACCATTCCATTTTTTCACTCAATTTTGAAGCCTCCATAAATTTTTACAGATTTTTTGTTTTCTTTTGTCTTGCTTTTAGTTTAAAATGAAAAATAAGCACACCTTCCATTTTGAAGAACAATTTTAAGGTTTTATTTTGACTTGAGAAGGACAAATAAATGTGGGGTTATTTATTTTCTTTGACATTTTCGAACAAAACTGGTTGTTTTTCAGAATGAAGTTTTGAATTATTTTGTCTAAATATTTTTATTAAGGTATAACTGATATGCAATATCGTAGTCATTTCAGGTATACAACATATGAGTCAATATTTGTCTAAATTGCAAAATGGTTATCACAAAAAGTCCGGTTACCATCTGTCACTATACAATACTATTGTCCGTAGGATATTATTGTCTGTATTCTCTATGTTGTACATTACATCCCTATGACTTCTTTATTTCTTAATAGGAAGATTGTACTTTTTGATCTCCCTCACCCATTTTGTCCATACCCCAACTCCCTCACTTCTGGCAACACCAATCTTTTCTCAGTTCCTAAGAGTAAAGATTTTGTTTGTTTGCTATGTTTTTTAAATTCCACATGGTAAGCTTGTGGTATTTGTCGTCCTATAACTGACGTATACTACTTAATCTAATACTCTCATGGGCCATCCATGTTGTTGCAAATGGGAAGATTTCATCCTTTTTATGGCTGATTATTATCCGTGTGTGTGTGTGTGTGTGTGTGCATGCGCAACATCTTCTTCGTTCATTCATCCATTGATGGACACTTAGGTTGTTAGCATACCTTTGCTATTGTAAATAATGCTGCAATGAACAGAGGGGTGCATATCTTTTTGAATTAACATTATCATTTTTGTGGATAGATATCCAGCAGTGGAATTGAAGGATCATATGGTAATTCTATTTTTAATTTTTTTTGAGGCATCCCCATGCTGTTTTCTATAGTGGCTGCACCAGTTTGGATTTTCAGCAACAGCTCATGAGGGTCACTTGTTCTCTTGTTTCTTGTCTTTTTGGTAATAATCACTCTGACAAGTGTAAGTGATAGCTTATTGTGGTTTTGATTTGCATTTCCTTGATGATTAATGTTGTTCATCATCTTTTCATGTGCCTGTTGGCCATCTGTATGTCTTCTTTGGAAAAGTGTCCATTCAGATTTCCTACCCATGTTTTAATCAAATTGTTTTTATTGTTCTCATTGAGTTGTATGAGTTCTCTATATATTTTGGATATTAGCCCTTTATCAGATATATGATTTCCAAATACCTTCTCCCATTCAGTAGGTTGCTTTTTGGTTTTGTTAATGGTTTCCTTTGCTGTGCAGAAGCTTTTTAGTTTAATGTTCCATTTGTTTATTTTTGCTTTTGTTGCACTGATCCAAAATATATATATAACTGATGTCAAAGAACTTAAATTCATGTTTTCTTCTAGGATTTGTATGGATTCAGGTCTCACACTCAAGCCTTTAATCTATTTTAAATTAATATGTATACATATTGTAAGATAGTCATCCAGTTTCATTCTTTAGCATGTAGCTCTCTAGTTCTCCCAGCACCATTTATTGAAGACAAAGTCTTTTCTCCATCGTATATTTTACCTCTTTGGTCATAAATTAGTTAACCATATATGTGTGGGTTTATCTCTGGGCTCTCTGTTTTGTCCCACTGATCTATGTGTCTGTTTTTATGCCAATGCTATGCCATTCTTGATTACTATAGTTTTGTAGTATGGTTTGAAATCAAGAAGCATGATGCCTCCAGTTTCGCTCCTTCTCAAGATTGTTTTGGCTATTTGGAGTCTTTGTGTTTCCATAGAAATTTTAGAATTATTTTTTCTACTTCTATGAAAAATGCCATTGGAATTTTGATAGGGATTTCACTGAATATGTAGACTGCCTTGGGTAGTCTGGTCATTTTAACAATAGCAATTCTTCAAATCCATAAGCATGAAATATCTTTCTATTTCTTTCTGTCTCAAATTTCTTTCGTCAAGGTCTTATTTTTTTAAGTATACAAGTCTTTCACTTCTTACATTAAATTTATTACTAGGTATTTTGTTCTTTCTGATGCAATTGTAAATGGGATATTTTTATTTTTCTTTCTGATACTTTGTTATCAGTGTATAGAATCACAACACATTTTTGCACATAGTTGTTATGCCTATGATTTGCAATACTACGTTGAATGAAAATGGGGAGAGTGGACATCCTTGGGAGGAAAAATTTTCAGCTTTACACTGTTGAAAGTGATATTAGCTGAGGGTTTGTCACATATGACCTTTATTATGTTGAGGTTCCTTCCCACTGTACCTCTTTGCTGAGGGTTTTTCATTAATGGATGTTTAATTTCATCAACTCCTTTTTCTGCATCTATTGAGATAATCATATGATGTCTAGATTTCATTTCTGTTAATGTGGTGCATCACGTTGATTTATTTGTAGATGGTGAACTTTGCATCCCTGTGATAAATCCTACTTGGTAATGGTATATGGCCCTTTTAATGGATTGTTATATTCGGTTTGCTAATATGTTGCTGAGGATTTTTTTCATCAATGTTCATTGGGATATTGGCCTGTAATTTTCTTTTTAATATTGTCATTGTCCAGTTTTGGTATCAGGGTAATGCTGGCCTCATAAAGTGAGTTTGGAAGCAGTCCCTCCTCTTTACTTTTTTGGAAGTTTGAGAATAGGTATTAACTCTTTAACTGTTTGGTAGAATTAACCAAGGAAGCTATCTAGTCCTGGACTTCTGTTTGCTGGAACTTTTTGATAGCTGATTTAATCTTATTAGTAGCTGATCTGTTGAGATTTTCTATCTTTTCATGATTCAGTGCTGGATGAAATTCTAGGAATTTAACCATTTCTACTTAGTTGTCCAATTTGTTGGCATGCAATTGTTGGTAGTAGGTTTTTGTTTTTGTTTTTCTTTTGTTTTGTTTTTTGTTTTTTATAGTCCCTTTTATTTCTATGGTATGAGTTGTATGAGTCATTTCTGCTTTTATTTGTGTCCTTTTTTTCTTTCTGTGGTGAGCCTAGCTAAAGGTTTGTCAGTTTTGTTTGTCTTCTTAAAGAACCAATTTCTAGTTTCATTGATGTTTTCTACTGTTTTGAGGGTTTTGTTTGTTTCTTTGTTGTGTTTTGTTTTTATTTCTCTTATTTCCACTCCGATATTTATAATTTTCCTCTTTCTACTAATTTTGAAATTTATTTTTTTTCTAATTCCTTTAGGTGTCAAGTTGAATTTTTTATTTGAGATTTCTTTGTTTCTTGAGATTTCTTTGTTTCTTGAGATATTTCTTATTGCTATGAACTCCTCTCTTAGAATTGCTGTTGCTGCATCCCATAGATTTTGGTATGTCATATTTCTGTTTTCATTTGTCTCTAGATTTTTTTTCTTCCTTTGACTTCCTTCATGATCCAGTAGTAATTCACTAACATGTTGTTTAATCTCCATGCATTCGTAGCTTTTCTAGTTTTCTTCTTGTAATTGATTTTTTAAAAATTTTTATTTATTTATTTGTTTATTTATTTATTTGAGAGAGCTTGCAAGTGGGGAGTTGTGGGGAGGATCAGAGAGAGAGGGACAACAAGCAAACTACATGCTGAGCATGGAGACTGACTCAAGACTGGAT